ATTAGGTCACAAGGTTTTAATTTTTGGTAAGAATTTTTTTCTTGTGTAAAGACAATACATATTCAATATTTTTTCATTCTTTAAAACAGCACTAATACTTATTCGAGTTTTGACAATTAATGAGTTTTCATATTAAAATTAAATATAGTTTACAAAATAGTCGTCAGTTTAAGATAATACCGTCACAAGTTCAATGAACTTGCAGCTCGTATGTCCGGCTTAACTTTAAGCCTTCTATTGCATGTTGTCACGTAACTTTACCAGATTTTAATGTAATACAAACAATTTTAGCTTTAGAAGCATTTTGGCAAGTTTTCATGTACATAAAGTGGCTGATGTAAATGAAAATGCGTCACCATGAACTCTTGGGTAAGCGGTATCTAAATATTGTTGTGGATTGTATTAAAAGTCGTGTTTACGCGGTATGGGTTTAAAATAATATAATAATACGCAACTTAAAAAATATATGTAATTTTTTGTATTTTAATTTAGAGTCACTTGTATCATTATTAAGTCTATATTTCTCAAAATGTCTATCACATTGTCATCCTGTGAGTGCGGAAGTACCCACTGCTGAGCAAAGTCTTCTTTTCATACGGATAAGGCTTGAATCGTCATGCTCGATCAAGCAGGAATAAGCAATTCTGAATTAGAAATTATGAGTTCAGATTTCCTTAAGTTTCTTTTCTTCACTTTTTAGAAGCAATTTCCGATATATTAAATCAATCAGCTTTATAAACACGAATATTCTAGAAAAAGTAATTTTAACGAGCTTGTTTTAAAATATAAGTTGCAACATGCGATATGCATGCTGGCATCTCTAAAATATAATTCAAATAACACAAGCATAATGGCATACGAGTATAAATTCAAAATATGCTTTTTATGCTAATATTATAATTGGGCTTTGTATTCGTGAATGGTAATTAGCATTGAATGTAAATCGTTTTATTCGGTTTCGTTTGTTTTAATCGTTTTATGCATTTATATCGATTATTGACAGCAAAGACTTGATATGTTATGCTCAATTTTAACTATTATTTAGCTTTAATTTAATTTATAAACATATAAATTATATTTTTAAATATTGTTTAAAAATAAAAAATAAACATTTAGAAATATAATAGTTAGCTTTAATTTTATTATTATTTAAATTATAGTGGTTTTCTCGTAATTTTATTTTTATCTCAAATTTGTCTCGGCCTGTGATTTAATCATTATTAGTTTTATTTCATTTCATTCAATTATTAGTTTTATTTTGGCTGAGTCTGGATGTGGATACCGTATGTTTATAGTATTTTAAGTAGTTTTTAACCGACTTCAAAAAAGGAGGTGGTTCTCAATTCGAAGCGTATTTTTTTTTAAATTTTATTCAATATGTAATGTATGATGTGCTTACCTGTAACGATTAATACACCTGATCCGATTTGATTTAATGTAAACAATATTTCTTTGTGTGTACTCAATTATTGTTGGTGAGCCAAATAAATTAATAAATGTGAAGAAAAAGTTTAAGTGTGGTAGAGTCATACACAAGGAACGAATGGACTGGCTCCATCGGAGTGATAACGTGGCCATATAGGAAAGTGTCGTGAAACAACCACATTGTTGCGTTTTGCCGAGTGAGTGAGGCCACCGAAGGTCCACTATGACCATGATCCTTTTCTATATAAAAGGGGTTTGCCACAGTCCCCCTAGCAGGTTAAATATAACACTTGAAATGATCAGGTTTATCTGGATTCCCTGCTGGCTAGGTTCTGTCAAAGACAGTCCGTTAAGCAGCTCTTTCGTAAGCACCCAGCAACAGAACACATTCTAGTCAATAATAGCCACTCGGAACGAGACCAATTTACAATACAATTATAATTTCACATAAATAAAATTGATGTTGTAATTGAATGGAGTGAATTTTTATTCGCTCGTGAATAACAATAAAGTTAAATGAGTCACTGTTTATTTGTATTTACGTTCAATCGGTCATGTTCATGGCCACGCGAAGTAATATATAAACGTTATGAAGAGTTATCATTTCTTTATTTATACATACTTATGTAAGTACACACATCTATTTTATTACACCTACGTAATTATTATATATATCTTTAAAAGTGGTCAGAGAAGTTTAAAATGTGGGCGAGCCATGCTGCGGCTCGACCGGAGTGATATCACGGCCTCAAAGAAAAGAGGCGTGAAACAACCACGGCGTTGTGTTTCTTCGTCTAAATGAGGTTACGTTTACGAAACTGTTATCCCTGTAAGGTTAGCAACGCACACTCCTTTGGTGTTGCGGGTGTGCACCGATTGCCTACCGACAGGTAATCCATCTGCTCGTTTGGCGACCTATATCATTAAAAAACAGAAAATAATTAATACAAAAAAAAATATCCAACACGATACGTTTTAAACATATCAACATTAAGCCTCTTCCTGCGAACTCGCATGAAAGAGAACTTATAGCATAGTTTTCATAGGGAGAGTGCAAAAAGGTTACAAATAGTTATACCGTATAAGGGCAAATGCGTTCTAAAATCTCATATAACACACAGTCACAAAGAGTAAAAATTGCTTAAAAATACATTTCTTGAAAAAAAAAACACACTCAAATCTTGACAAATGAGTGAGCATTAAAAATTTTCAATGGACACGAAAATTGTGTTCTTTTCGTATACCCATCTAACATTAGATAACATCTGGAAATAGATTTTCGACACGAAAGGGAAAAATTGGCTACGCAACATTTATTCTAGAATGTTTTTGTTCTACTGGCTTTGTCCCAAATGGGTTAGGGTCACCACCAAGTCCTAACCAGTTTCGACTGGATAACGAATTTTTGCGAAAACACATAGCCATTTTTTCTTTAAATCTGTCTGTTTTACGTGTATATTCTTGAGTGAGTAAATAAGTCACTAGGTATATCTTTTTTTCCGGCTGGTACAAGTACCAAGACGGGTCCGCTGTCCCATACGTTACTTATGTTTTAAAATCATATTGTCTCATATTGTAGCTCGAAACTAGTCAGAATACGACATCAAACAGATACATCTGCACGGTGCATCATTGACTGCATGGTTGGTGCGGTGGCTGGGCAACTGGCTGCCGTGCATGGTGTCGCGGGTTCGATTCCCGCACGGAACAACACTTTGTGTGATCCACAAATTGTTGTTTCGGGTCTGGGTGTCATGTGTATGTGACATTGTATGCTTTAAACGCACCCACAATACAGGAGAAAATCCTAAAGTGGGGCAGTGTTTTTAAAAAAAGAAAGACTATTGTATGCTGTACAGCCTGATAAAAAACAAAATAAAGGCTAATATACTTTCTTACTTCTGACAATCTCTGAATATTTTTTATGATATATTTTATTTTGTTTACGTGGTTTCGATAATAAAATAAGACCCAATTAATTCATTTGGTTAAGATCGTAAATTAAAAATTGATCAAATAAATTAATTGATAACACAAATTCTTATGCCTACCGGATTTTTGATGATAAAATCTCAACACGAGTTTTAATAGCATTCTTTTCATTAATGAAGCATAAAATATTTAAATACCTATATGTTCTTAATTAAAATTTAAATAGAATTAGTTTGTTTTGACGCCCGTTTATACATTAATTGTTAAACTTATTTCGATCAAATATGGAACAAAGATAGATAAAGGAATATAGGAAAGAATGTGGGCCAGTAAATGTAGGAACCACCGGATTGGTTTTTAGTCAGTTAGAGACTGACACTCCCTCCTGCCCAACCCTGGGCGGGAGAAGTCATTTGATGATTTTCCACTTACAAAAACAAGAGACTGACAGTACCCTTCTCCCTTCCCCGAGGGCGGTGCGTCACTATGAAGATTTTCAAAGCCGACACCAAAAAACAATTACATACATATATATAGGAAATTAAAAGAAAAACTGATGTGTTTTATTTTGACTGAAAAATGATTATTACTAGAAATCATATAAAAACTGGGACTGGGGCGTCTGGTTCCCAAAGTGTCGATGGTTCGATTTCCAGTCGTAACAATTATTTTGTTTCAGGTTAGGGTGTGATGTGTGGGTAAAATGTTATGTTCATAAACACACACCTACGATTCGTGAGAAATCTGAAGTTTTAAATTTGGGCACAGGTTTTTTTCAAATAGGCATGTATCGCAGAGGCCTATGTCCAGCAGTGGACGGAAACAGGCCTGTAATGATGATAATGATGTATAACGTAGGGTACCAAAATATCTTTACTACTATTATAAATGCGAAAGTAACTCAAAGTCTGTCTATCTGTCTTTTCTTCACGCCTTAACTACTGAATCAATTTCTGTGAAATTTGGTACAGACATAATTTAGAACAGACATAATTTGGAACTCGAGAAAGGACATAGGTTAGTGTTTATACCAAAAATCTGCAGGACGTCACTATTCCACGTGAACGGAGTCGCGGGCAAAAGCTGGTATTTATAATATAAAAAAAGTATATTTTATACAATGACTTATTTTAGTTTGAAACTTAAAACACTTTATAATTATTTTAGAAGCATAACATGTCTCCTTTGTCTGAGTTATGGAACTTTTTAGTAGTTTTAAACTCCATATCTTTTAGGCAATGAAGACGTACCTAATGGGGTATTCAAAGTAATTGTCCTGAAGTCTATTCGTGGGTTAATGTTATTATTTTATGTACGTGCTAATAGCGTTTTAAATTATTATTGTTTTTATAAAATATTATTTTCGTCTGAATCACATTTTTATCTTTTATTATTAAATTATATAAATGTATAATGTATTATGACGTTGTGTTGTTTCTATGCCAAACGTTTAAAAATAAATTAGGAATTTAAAATAAAGGTTATATAATATTTGGAATAATAGATATACATTTCTAGTTCGAAAGTTCACTAAAATAAAATTTATAAACAAGACAATAAATTACTAAAGTGCGATAAAACGAGTTTCGAACATCTCAAATCTAAATCGCATCGAATAATAAAATGAAAGGAAAAATACTCACAATATAATTTTCATGTTGAATTATAAAAAATCCGATGGAGCACTAAATTAACAAAAAAAAAAAAAAACACCACAGCACTAATTTATAATTAACATAATCACCATCACCGAATTATATAAAAAATATTAAAAAAAAACTGTGTTTCACATTTTTTTATTCAGGAACATCGTATTTTCGAATTATTCGCACGTTGGTGCGCGCGCGCATGTACTCGTGATAGCGCGGGAAGTTCGAGACTGGCTTAGCCGTTAGCGCCTGCGCGAGAGCATGTATGGTATGACACTCGCACTAAAACGAACGAAGTGCTAATCTGTTCAAATGTTTAGTAAATTATCATTTTTAGCTTCAATACTAAAAATAAAATAGTTTTGTGGTATTATAATTTGATATGAATCATTAATGTTTCTTTTTGTCAATAATTGGGTCAATCGATTACTTATCTCTTTTGATACTAAAGTGATAAGTATTGATATAATTAATAATGTAAAAAATAAAGGTTTACTTATTTATATTATTATCTTAGATACAGTTGAAACTAGCATCAGGTAATATTATCCTGGAATTATTTATGAAATTGGATCTATTTGGTGCAGTGGTTGAGCATACTTTTATAGTATGTTACTTTTTCAATTGTTTTTGACCTTCTTGTGTTATTTGTTATTTATGGTTTAGGTCGGCAAATGAGCAGACGGATAACCTGATGGTAAGCAATCAGTGCCGCCCATGTACACCCGCAACTTCAAAGTAGTTACGAGTGCGTTGCCGGCCGTTTAGGGGTAAGGGTTTCAGATATTTAAAGATTGGGAAGGGATGGAGGGAGGGAGAGGTTTGGGTAACCTTACGCACACGGCGAAACACAATGCTGTGGTTGTTTCAGGAAGGTATTATAGTAATATGTGAACTTTTTCTATTTTGATTATACACATATTAATACTGTTTTCTTGAGGAGGAATATATCACAAAATATCTTCTCTGATAAATAATTCCAATATCTTTGTTCTCATTTTATTTGTTTGTTCAATTATAACATACATCGTCATTACCCAAAACTTGTGAGATATGTGGACTGATAAGATAGCATAATATATTAAAAATTAAAATCCTATTATTTATTTAATTAAGTACTGACATTCTGTTTTCAAAAAGTTTTTAGTCAAAACAACAAAAAAATTGTTGTGTCGCCATGAAGAAGAGAAAAGAAGTCCAGTCCACTTGGACTGGATTACTTTTCAATTGGCTCTCTGTATACACGTTGAAAATCTTCTTAAAAAGTGCAATAATAATATAACGGTTGAGGCAGAAATTTAGAATTTAGTCAGTTAGAGTCTGACACTTCCTTTCGCCCTAATCAGGGTCGCCGAAGACATTACATGATCATACCTTAAAAAAACAGTAAGTATTGAGCATTTTGCTTTAGCAGTAACAATCTTCCAATTCGGGTTTATTTTCTGATAAAAATAAAATCGATCCAGTGACATTCCCACACAGATTTACTATAAAACTAGCTAGAACATTGTAGCTATCTATCACTGAAAGAATTTTCAAAATCCGATCAGCGGTTCCAAAGATTACCCCCTAGATACAAACTAACAAAGTTACAAATTTTACCTCTTTATTTAGAATATATAAACATATAAATTACATTTTTAAATATTTTTTTTTTAAATTAAGTAATAAAAAACATTTAAAAATATAAACAATAGTCTTACCGGTATCGGGAACAGGGTCTTAGCTACCGGCGGTCAGGGCTCCAGAGAAAGGAACCTCCTGACTAGGGTTGCCACCTTTTTTGCAGTTAATAAAGTACATTGGTTATTATAGGTAAGAAAAAAAAAGTACATTGGATCAAAATAAAGTACAATTTATTTTTCTTTATTTTTATATTTCAAAACATATTTTTTTATTGCTTTTTGCAGTTTGCATTAAATAAGTATCTCTACTAAAACATCTTTACAGTCTTCATTAAATTCAGAGACGCTTGGTTTCTTTCATCTCTTCATCTCGCTGTTCATCACAGACTTTTCAAAATCCCAAAAAAATCAATACATACAAAATAAAGTATTTTCGTGTACTTTATTGTTCTCATAAAGTATAGAGTACAATTATATGAAATAGAGTACAATACTTTATTATAAAGTACGGGTGGCAACCCTACTCCTGACAATACGAGCCGTGTCCAGGAGGACCACCCTCTGAATCAAGCCCTTGATCCAGCTACATCACGAGAGCCTCCTAAGGTGTTTGTCGATTACCTTTTTATATTATAAGTATAGATTATAATTCTACTTTTTAATGTAACTTGTATGGTGGTACTAAATTGTCATTTTATGAGACCAAACATATCTTTCAAAGGGCAAAATGCGGGAACACTATCTTTTTTTCACCTTTGCCTTGCCTTAGTCTTTGAGCTTTACAAACCAGGCTATTCTTTTAAAAAGCGTGACAAAACCAAAAATAGTTATCAGTTCTTTTTAGTGCTGCTGCCTTTGTATAGTTTTTATTTTTATTTTTATCTGTTAAACATGTTGGCCTTTTGTGTTCGTCTGCGGGGATATTGTAAAGTGCAGATATATGTACCTACATATGTTGTTATATCTAGTATTCTAATTTAGTTCTGCAGGTTTTATTATAACGGGTTCTGTCTGTGACCTTTTGTACTGTATTTAAATATGTACCAGTAAAACTGTTTTTATTTCATTTAGTAAAAGGTAACTCTTTTTTATTTATTTTTTTGTCATGCGGGTTAGGCAGTAACTAATCAGATTTATTGATTACATTATTAAATTGTGAAGAACGGGGAAAGAGAAGAATAACCTGAATTTAAAATATCTAAATAAGTTCTGTAATGTGTAACTATTATGAATGTAGAAGAGCCATGTTAAATGTAGGAGAGACATGTTTAATCACGAAGGGGTCGGCTCAATTGGAATGATACAGCGGCCTTACGAAGACCAGCGTATAACAACCATAGCGTTTTGTTTCACCATACGAGTGAGGTTAATGGAGGCCCAATCCTTCCTATCCTTCCCCAATCCCCGCCTTATACCTAAATCCGCAAAACCTTTAACCCCAAAAAGGCTAACACCTAAAAAATGTTAGGTTTAGTTAGCTGTTTCGATGTATGTTGTAAATGTTCATGCACATTTAGGATTATCTAATAATAAAATATTACTTTTGTGTTCGTCTTGGGGACCATGTCGTGAGATTGGACATGCAGATAAATGGTTTTGTGCATATTATGTTGTACATATTTAAATTTGACTTCGTTTGCTTTGTTATGTATTTAAAGTTACAGTATGGAAATGTAGTGTATCGTTATTTGTTAGGTAATCTTTTTATGTTTATTACAGGAATTCGTTTACAGTGTCATGTTGTTATTAAGTCTGTGATTTTAATTAATATTGTCATATCACAAGTCCAACTAATAAGGTTGTATAATGTCTAGGTACTTTAGAAAACGCCTAATCTGAAAATCGAACCTTTTACCTTTTTAGTTACATGTAAAATTTACCTCTTTTATCACTTTCCATTATAATATTTTCGCCAATAAAAAATGATATGAACACGAAACAGTTCCATTGCGGGGCCAAGGTTTCTTTTTATGCAGAAAATAAATCAATCGATACAAAATATGGTACCATACCCATATTAATAACATTAATATATTATTATGAACAATTCCAACAAGGAAAATTAAGTTATTAAACTGCTATAAATAGTAGAACTTTAACAATATCAGGTAAATCAAAAGTACTATCTACTATCAAGCTATTTATGGTTAATAGTTGGAATAAATGATTTTCACTTTGACTTTTAAATCCTTGCTCTAATACGATTTTTCTTAAAATACCATAATAGAGACAAACTTAAAAAAAAAAAAAAAAAATAAACTTAGTAAAAAAAAGTTTTATTCAAATACGTCAAGTAGTTTTTGCGATTAGCGTTAAAAAATCAGTTAGGTACTGTTATATACTAAACTTTAATTATTTTATTAAAAAATATTTAATAGATTTTAAAAAGATACACGTATCATTTCTTGTACAAAGGTGAAAGGTAAATTTTCAAACAGTGTAAGGCGACGAGATGTGGACAATGATGGTCACGAATAAAATCCAGTATTTATTAGCCACCATACCACCACAGACGGAGTCAACAGAGTCAATGTTCAGCCAGAGTTGGGGGGCAATCGCAATAAGGCAACGCGGCCTCGGCCTGGGGCAGGAGAAATCATAGGATAAAATTCCCTCCTCCAGAAAAGGTATTCCCGTGCCAAACAAGCTATCACTAAACCCTCAACAACATTTGGCACAAACTTTATTAATATAACAAAAAACTAAAAATAGAAGAAAACGTTTTAAAATAATTAGTATAAATAGTAGCCACATCACTTAATTAATGTCTCTTTTATTTAAATTTATTTAACAACGATATTTTTACCAACTAAAAGTTCTGAAACACGTCATCAGTGTAAATTGGAACGTGGCCCACACAGCTAGATAATGGTTAAGAAAAATTTATTAGCAATCGGTTTCTTTATTGAACAAACAAGCCGACAGATTAATGGAAAGATTACATTCTGACACAAAAAAATATCTATCATAGATTTTATTTCTTGAAAGGGATGGTTAAAGTAATAGATACTTGTATTTTCGTTTTCATTTCTTTTGCACTCTTGTAATCATTATAAAACTCATAATTGCTGACCACTGCTGAGCAGAGGCCTCTTCTCACACGGAGAAGGTATTGAGCATTAATCACAAGGTTTGCTTAAGAAGAATTGCCGATTTCAAACTTAAAAATTTTAAGGTTTCCTCACGATGTTTTCTTTTGCCGTATGTAAGTGGTATCTAAATAATCTTAGAAGTATATTAAAACTCAGAAAAGTCACATTGGTACTTGCCAGGTTTCGAACCCGGACCCTCATGTGTGAGAAGCCGACACGACATTTCACTCATTTATTTTGTAACACGTTATTTATAACTTGATATAATTATTGACGACTTGTTTGCTCGTTGCTTTTTGGAATTGTACCCAGTGGATAGTTCATT